CATTGAACAACTAGAGTGCATAAAAGCAAAGTAATAAATGAATACTATATCTATGACAAGAGTCTTGAGCTTTTGATTGTGAATCGCTTAAGCGATATTCATGATTTGAAAATGTCATTTATATAGAAAATATTTCATGTACTCAAAGTAATAAATTTAAATAAAAACAGGATTTATAAATCTCTAAAATGAAATAAATCATTTTATTGTCTATAAGATATCTGTTTCAATCTAGATCGAAATATGTAAGGCCATTGTCAATGCATAACTTAAAAATACTTATATATAACTTGCTATTATATAACTTAATAAAGTTCCATTAATCAGGAGACATTTATATTTAAACAATGTATATTATTTATGTATGGCACTCTACTACATATTCCACTTGTTCGTATAAAATAAATTACAATAATTATTGATTGATAATGAAAAATATTTCTTACCTTAAAGATATTGAAGAAAAGGATAATTTTTTCTTCTTACAAAATATGTCCGACAATTAGTTAATTCTCTGTGCATTAACTTTCCCACGTCTTAGAACCAAATTAATTTTACGTTCAAAATGGAAGTGGACCATTTAGAAATTTATTAATCAAAGTAATACAATCACACTTTTATTCAATATTATTAAGTATTCGCAATATCTTTTTATGAAACTAATAAAGATCGAGATCAACGAATTCAACGAAAAAGTTGATTACCCGAAAAATTAGAGAGGAAAAGATAGAACTGAGGAAAGCTGGTAGACGTCCACGCTGACGTTGAGTGTACTACTAACGCGATTCCGGTCACTCATGTGCGAGTTGAAAGAGATTAGAACAGCTGGTTCCAGCGAAGTCCCTCGCCGACTAACAACATCGCGTGTAATTGGCAATATCTTCGAAAATATAGTGAATCACCGTGATCGTCCCCTTCGGTCGACCAATGGGCGTCCACGCTGCAAATAGCCTTTTAAGAATATCAGAGTGTTACTTTCTTTCGTGTAATAACATCTCTCTGTATTCTTCACAATTTCAATACTTCATTTCTATTATTTTTAAACAATTTATCATAAAATATAATATCATTGATAATACGTAAGTTTTTACAATAAATCAATTGCAGAAATCTTCCATGAAGTAGTTTAATTAATTACTACAATGTAAATATCATGGAAGTTCTGTTTTGGAAAGTTTCCTCGAGACACTTTCACACTTATCAATGCTTCTAATGCAATAATACGTAGCCAACAAATGTTACGATTTTAATAGTATCATAGTATACATTTAACATTGCTGAAGATTGACCATTAAAAATAGAGAAATGAATTTCTATGCACCATTGTGGATTGGAATTTTGGTAAAGACGAAAAGCAAGAATGATAAGAAAAACTGGAAAAATGCGTTACACGTGTTGCCTCCTATCATATCGATGACACACAGTTCGATAATTTAATCTGAGGTCAAGAGACAGTGTATACGCAAATGAAGATAATCATTTCTCGAGATAAGCGATCAACGAATTGACAACGGTCCTAACGCAGGTAAAATTGAAATAATCGAGTTCCAATTTAATTTCATCGACTTCAAATCCACTCTTATAAGAGTTGAATTTTTATTTACTGACTATAAACTTTGAACGACTGTCTGAACCTGTTGAGAATTAACATAATTTCATGATTTTTATTTTATGATCATATAATTCGAAAAAGCAAGTACCACATGGAAATGGTGCTTGACCATTAAAAACTGACGTTCATAAATGGAGCAGCGTTTATGGCATAGTTTGAACAGAGGAACCAAGGCTGCTTTTAGTTCACACGTGATCGGGTTTGTTAGCAGCACACGTGCTTCTAACACGTGGTTGTAAAATGTTTAAGCCCGGGTGCACGTGCGTCAGACACGCACGGGATGCCGGCAGACGACGAAATTCCGATTACTCCTGGGCAAATTAGCGGCGAGTTATCGTGATTAATTAACGGCCTCCGGGGTCGCGAATTATGTATACGTTCCACTAGCTCTGCCATTAGCCCTGATATTGGGTTAGTGGAAAAATAATGCTGACTTTCCGAACATAAATTCACGTGCCAACACTGGGAATTATTTTTTCATAAAAGAAAAAGGAGAAAAAAAAATTAGTAACTAGAAAGAAAGTAGAATTAAGTAGGAACTGTAAGTGAGATTAATGTTTCGATGAAGTTACACATTATTCTTCTTAGAAAATACTTACATTGTACAAAATTATGAAATTAATAATGAATTTCCGGATTAACAGATTTTCGATGAATAATTTTCTAACACTATATCTAACGTTAATTGTGTGCGCCGCCCACTTGTTATTGGCAAACTATCGCCGAATCTTCTGGCTTTGGTATCTTATCTGAACCGCCCAGAAGCCAGAATCTCGCACCGAACGTTTCCACATTTCATTTTATCCGATTGGGCAAACTATATACAAATCCTGTATTTCTATGAGATGCGATATAGCCCGTTGATATAATGGCAACAAACGTATATGCATATATATACATTTCGGAGGCAAAGATTCTGTTTGTTCTGGATCAACCAACTGTTTGAAGAAGATACGAGAGACCGGATTTTACTAGAGGCGAAAAGCGATATTCCTTGAAAAATTTGTTGCATGCCAAAGTCAAAAGATACAAATGCTCATAATTATTTCTTTATTACCCACTCGTTTACTTTGCATATTTATTTTTTCATATCTCAGTAAAGTAAAGGATTAATTGCTTTTAATTTTTCGTGACTGAAGAAAATAAAGCTTAAAGCGAAAAAGCAACTGAGATTAAAATACAACAGGAA